CACATTCTGACAGCACTTCAGACAGCAGCTTTGTGCCCCGCCAGCTTCTTGTTCCATGCCTACCATGGTGTTTTTGTACAGACAGCACTTCAGACAGCAAGTATGCTGTAGTCGGCAATCATTCGTTTTGGTACAGAGTGGGACAAGTAGGGGGTGATGTTGCTGTAGTCGAACGGTGAGACGGACGTGTAGTTCAGTTTTGGGCACGCGTACGGTGCTGCAGGGATTATATATTATAGGTGTAGTAGTACCTCTTCGGGCACCTTTTTCTTGCTACGTGTGCGTGTTCTTTAGATCCGCAGATGGCTCCAGCACTTTCGTGACCACGGGCCGAGAGTCTTTGCTAGATTTTGGCATTTAGCAACTGGCATACGGTTTAATGTGAAGTCAACAACAACAACAACAACAACAACAATGAGCGGCGGCTGGCAGGAGCGCGAGCCATTCTTTTTTTTTTTTTCTTAATATGACACAACGAGTCTATCTCTATCATAGAAAAGAGTCAGAGACAGATAACAATGGAATCATAGCGTCAGAGAAAACTACCTGTGTGTCTACGATTTCCCAGACAGCATATAGGGACATCTCCCCTGTGGGATGCGGCGCGACGCTGCGGACGTCGTGTCACGGAACTGGCGGGCTGTTCGCCGCTTGAAGTGGGCGCTTCACGCTTCACCGTGTTTCTCAATTTCGATTTTGATTTTGGTGGTTTCTCGATAAGACACCGCGGGCGAATTTGGGCGACTCTTCAGGACTCAAACTGATTTTTGATTTCGATTTCTGATCTTGATTCTGTCGATAAGACACATCCTCATCGGGAATCGATTCCGCTTGGCCGATTTAGGGAGGTTAGAGCCACTCAGAAAGTTGGTCTGACCAAAAACCACCGCGCTGGCAGGCCATAACATGAGCGGCCCAGCGGTCACCAGCCGGGGCTCGTGCACTCGCAAAATTAAAGTTGGTTTGATAGATCATGAGGTGCAGCACACGTGGGCCCCACACAAGAAGGGGCTGCACCTTGCATCCATGCTCCTCAAGTTGGGCACCACAAGGGTCAGCAAGAAGAACTCATCCTACCCCGCTGCCACCGAAGCTGCTTTGTCTGAAATGGCGTTCAAGAAGGCTGAAGAACTCATCAAGACAACACGGGATAGGTACAACAACAGGATGAGGAAGGAAGGCGGAACACCAGCGGGCAGCAGCAGACCGAGGGGGGCAGACAGCGGCATGGCCTGCCCCGTCCTTGCAGCTATTTATTGCGGCCTCACAGACTGGTAGGGCGACTCGTTCTACGGCTAGTGCCACCCCAGCTTCACCGGCTGCTATTATTCCAGAGGTAGGTGCGATTCTCCAAACGTTTAGCTCTACAGTAGTGTGCTCGCTAGCAGAGGTTGATTGCTGTGCGCACAGCAGGCAGAGACCTGTGATAAGGGCAGAGGTCTGTGTAGAGCGCAGTTGATGTACCCAAAGCACGCAGAGATCTGTGCGCAATGTATACGCAACTTTGTGTCTTCGAGAACTGAATCAGTCTGAAGCGACTCCAACAACAGCATGAATATTGAGAAAACAAATGTTGTTTCTGCTGCGTAGGACCGCCACCCGGAGCACATTTTGAGATAAAATAAGTAGACGCAACGATCACTCTGAAGCACCCACACACCAGCCACACGGCGACGTAGATGTGGTATTTTGTTCGCAGGCATAAACTGAACCACAGGTTTTGAATACATTTGTCTTCTGCTGCTATCTCAGCGCTGACGTTTCCAAATGCCCCGACTGCTGGACGTTGCACTTGACCCACCGCGCCGCTCAACTATTCCAGCCACCAGAGCAGTTCGAGTGGAGTGACACTTCGCCAGCATTCGTGGCGGCGATGAGAGGGATGAACACAACGGAGTTGTTGCGATGTCTGGAAGAGCTCCAGGTGCCCGCCGCTGACAAGCTTCGAGAGCAGCTGGAGGAAGCTAGGGAGCTCCAATCAGCATGTCGAAGAGCGTTAAAGGATGCAGAAATCCAAGGACGAACCAACGAGGGGCGGAGAACGTTCCAGACGTTGCTCACGGCTGTTGCGTAAGATGGAGACGGGCGTTCGAAGGTAACGGCCAAGCGCAAGTCCGAGATGTTTGGTGTTCACCCAGAGCACCTCGTCGCCGCCCGACGGCGGGTGACAGCGCTGAGGCCTGAGCTCCCTCCACTTCAGGCAATGGATGAGAACGCGTACTACTTCCGTTCCCGGGCGAAGAGGAGCGACGCAACCCCCCCAGAAATGCTGGAGCGCATGGGAACGTTTTGGCACACCGACGAGATATCTCGTGCATCAGGGAACGCCAAAGATATCTGGCGGGAGTCCAAGTCGCCCAGCGCGAAAGGCCACCCTCGTCGGCAGCTCATCGTAGAGGGGCAGGGTGAGGCAGTCTACGAAAAGTTCTTGGTGTGGCCAGGTTGGATCAACTTCAAGAAGGTCTGGAAGGAGGANGGAGGGGGAAGAGGGGGAGGAAGGTCCGACTCTGGCGAAAGAGAATGTTTGTGTCGAGAAGGTGGTTCTCCGGCACAAACCACACACCGGTTCGGCCTCCTGTTTTTGCTCTGCATGTCGCGTGCATTAGAACGAGCGGTGCTACACCAGGAGCAAGTACCCGGCCTGCGGCATGAACCTCGAAGAACAGGTAGTAGAGGAGACAGTCATCATGGTCACTGGGGTAGATCCTGTGGTTGGGATGGATCCTGTGGTTGGGATGGATCCTGTGGTCGGGAGCAAAAAAAAGGCGAAGAAAATCGTTTTCCGGAAGGGGGCGACCACCTGTCAGATGGACAGGGTTACCGGTACACAGTTTGGGGTCTCGTTCTGCGGTAGCAGCAAGTAGAATTGTTCGAGGGGCTGGGTGGTGGTGCGTTGAAATCTTGGTTTGCCCATTTGCTGTACTTTTGTGAAGATAATTGCGTGGTTTGGTGAAGATTGTGCGTGTTGCGACTGGTAAACCTGCAGTTTTTCTGTTGTGCTTAATCGGTGGTGGCTAGAAAAGTGTTATGTACAACACCCATTATAACTTTGTTCAGAATGCGAGAACAAAAAATACAACGACGGATTCGTGATCCCCACCCCAAAATTGACCCACCCTGAAGTTTTCAGTTCGATATGACGATTTTTCAAAACCGGGGATATTTTGGCACCATCCCCGGTCTGTGCGTTTTCGCAAATTGGCAAGGGAAAAAGAGCAAAATGCATTGAAACCCGGCCACCACCATCAGGTTTGTTTTTGAAATTTAGCACATCATCACAAGTATGATATAGGATCATTGTATTAAAATTTCAAGGGTTAAGGGAGGGATGGTGACGATCCGACCCCCCCCCCCAAAATAAATTTGGCTTTATCGCGGAACCCGCCATGGGTGGTTCGTAAACAGAGGGGGGCCGGGTGTGTGGTCCGGCGTTGCCAGGCAGCGGGAACCCGCGGCGCAAGGCATCCGTGGGAGCTGTGTATCTCGCTAGCTATGATGGCCTACTGCTGTACAGCTGCTTGCTTGAGCTGCTGCAGTGGGGGGCAGCTGGTGGGCTATAGTCTAGGGGGTGGGGGGTGGAGGGGCAGGTTCGGTTCAAGAGAGGTTTAGGAGAGGTTGAAGAGATTGGGGGTTCGGTTCAAAAGAGGGGTTTGTCTAGCAATTTTGACCTCTCTTAAATCGGCAATGCTCTTGAACTGAGCTCTCCCGTAGCCCCCACTACTGCTGTACACCATCATGTGTCGTTGAAACCGTAAAATCGCTCTAGGCGGTGTGATATCCCACGTCTCGTGTAGACTTGACAGCACGAGGCAGTAGGATCGATTTCCCGGGCCTACTGAGGGCAGGATTCGTCGCGTACCGTAGTCAACTGCGTGTGATGCAGGCTAGCGAAATTCAAAAGGAGGAGAGTGGAAGAAGTTGAGAAATCACATGCACACCCGCGCGTGCTGCCACTACTTTCAGCTCGCAAGCCTAGCGTCGAAACACTAAATAGAAGAGTACAGAGAATTTGCTGTTATTTTCGACAGAAGCCTAAACTGCAGCAGCTCAACTCTGTACTACAGTTGTATTTGTACTCCTTACAGTCCTAACAGCGCCTTGGGGTACGTAAGGCGAACGCAGACCGTGGGACGAGAAGAATGCAAGCGGAGGTCCCTATTTAGTGCCCGCATGTGCCCAGAAAATGTAGCACCAAACAGGGACCTCTACTGCAGTATTTAGATGTCGTGCAAGACCGACGTGCCAAATAGTTCATTTTGTCCTTCCTGCGGATTGCTATTTATATCAGACTGCTGTTGTCTGACCCTCACTACGGTCAAACCCAGCACCTATCAGTACAAGAATACCTTCCGCCTAAGCATCGACGAGCAAAACGCACGTCACGCTGCAAGCGCAGCGAAAGCCTCGCCTTTACGTACTTTGGAAGGCCGACGTGGCCCATCGAGGTGGTGCCGTACAATATGAGGGTATCCATCCCGCCTTCCCACATCCGGGAAAACAAGCGTGCAGGGCCAGGAACGTGCATTAGTTTACAGCTTGTATACACACAGACGCACAGCAATATTCTCCCTCTCCCTCCTAGAAGACATCGAAACAATGTCGTGGTGCTGCAGAGTAGCGGAAAGCAAGACCTGCCGCCGAACCACGCGAAAACCAACTCGTCGGAAACCAGCGCAACGAGTAAAAAGCTAGTCCTCCATAGATCTTCGAATCGCCTCCGCAATCAGCTCGTCTTCCGTCATCTCCTTTCCCTCCTCCCCTGCTTCCCCACCCCCGGCCGCCGCTGGTGCTGCTGCAGGTGGTGGCGAGGGAGCAGCGCCAGCAGCAGGAGATGGTGCCGCTGGAGCCCCCCCCTGTCCGCCTGCAGAGGGTGCTTGGAAACCCTGTGCAGCGTTGGCTGGTGCGGCGTTTATTCCCGCCGCGAGGGCGCCTCCGAAATCCATCTGGGAAGCTCGCTGAAGGGCGGTCGGGTCCTGCATCATCTGCTGGGCCATCTGAGCCATCGCCGGGTTGTTCTGAATCGCTTCGAATGCCTGAGCCAGTCCGCCGGGTCTGGCCATCACGGACTGCGGAGAGTGTAGCGGGCGAAGGGGCGGACAAGAGGTTTCGGAGCGTGAAGATTACAGGAGCGTGAAAATTACATGCAGTAGAGGCAAACAAAAAAACAAGCGCGAGACCAACACAGGGGTGCAGCAATTAGCAGGAAGCGAATTTAGCAAATACTCCGATGTCGCCAAAAGCCGTGAGCTGCTACGCACAAACGTGACCCCCATCCTTGCTGAAAACATCACACCCACAAAACACACCTGCATCGCCGCCGCCATCTGCGGGCTACTCCTCATCATGGCCTGCACCGAAGGGTCGTTCATCATTCCCTGCATCACCGCCGGGTTACGCGCCATCCTCGCCATCGTCGCCATGTCCGGCATCCCCCCTCCCATCCCGCCCCCCAACCCGGCCTGAGGAAACGCCCCGGGAGGAGGGAGCACCCCCAGTCCGCCCGCGAACCCGCCTGTGGACGCACCAGCAGCCGCCGGCGCTCCCGGGAGGATCGCCAGAGCTCTTTGGATGTCTACACGACCGTCGGTAAGAACGTTCCAGGCCGCTTCGCTGGGGGCAAGGAGCCAACTCTCTTGCGCGTCCCCGTGCTCGACGAAGCCGAGGGCTCGCATGCAAGCCTCTCCGCCCGGCACCGCTCCAACCTGTGCATAACGCACGGAAAGGAAAAAGGCGTTGCATGCAACGGGAAGGTGATGTACCATCGCCGAGCAGCATGGCGACGGTGAAAAGAGACGCGGTTGACTCCCCGCAAAGTCGTTGGAAACGCCTCGCCCAAGTCCAGAAGCGAAGCACACAAAACGGTGGTCATGCCGACGTACTATTACATCAAAATCCAACACATCAAACCCAAGATGACGTGCGCCCAACCGGCACGGCAGCATCTCCACACGAAAACGTAAGATAACGCTTAAGACCGCGCGCCCCCACCCCACCTTCCGGCTGAACCCCGCGTTTGCTCTCTTGATCTTGCGGTACTTCTCCTCAGTCGGGTGTGCCTTGATGTTGTCGATCACCTTGGTCAGAGTCGTTAGGCACTCGCGCGCCACGGCCGCGGGCTGTCGAGACACCGTCGCCACGGCCTGCCCCACCGGGCTGCTGCTAACCGCGCCTAAACCAAACCCGCTCATCGATTGCGTGGCGGCCGCAAGGCCAGCTGCGGGATTCGGCGTGGCAGGCGCCGCCGCCACCGCGGCGGCGGCAGGCGCCGTCGCTGCGGCAGGCGACGGCGACGCTGATGCTCCAGCTGCCAACACTTGGACAACGACGGTAAGGCCATCCTTAAGCTTGCAATCTTGGAGGGTCTGATCGTCCTTGTTTAGGATGCGCCCCTGGAATATGATGCGCTTCGGCTCGACGTCGAACTGCGACCTGTGGGGTCGGCGGAGGGGCGAGAGGTCAAGAGGAGATTATTTTCTCAGCCGGACGAGGTGTATCGATCAATCAGCGTTTTCTGGTTGCTTGCCGCGATATATATGCTTACAAACGCTGGGTAGTTTCATGTTGTCCAGTTCGTCTTGAATACGACGCGTGTTGAGTAAAACGCAGACGTTGAAGGAACGTCTTTGCTTGTAAGCTCTCGGAGGGTACCCAGCGGGTTGTATGCTGTGGGAAAGGGACGGGGACAACGATAGATGAAGAGTCGCCTCTTGGCAAAAACCGACTGCCAAAAAATACCGCTGCAAAACTCTTGTTGGAGATTCCCCTACGACCACAATAGTGCTTGTGCCAAACACGCACTCACTCTGTGGGATGCCTCTCCCATAGCCCTGCACGTCTATACTACAACACGAAGAAATAGCTCATCTCAAACTGGAATAGTATTGCCAAGGGGTTTCGCAGCAGGCCGCATAACGTGCACCCGCCACTATTCAGATCATGAGACCAGATGAGTATTCCATCTGTGTCACGCGATACCCGCCTTGCGCTACAGCATACTCCTCCATATAAAGCAGTAGATGCAGATGCTGGGCGAACCTTCGAGAAGGGGGCACGTGGGCACCTGTACTGCACCCACTCCCCGCTACGTTACAGTATTGCAACGGCCTACCTTTCTATCTTGTGAGCCGAGAGGCTTAAGCCGTACCTGATAGCCTCCTTAAGCTCGCCAACTGTGCCCTCGAGAGATATCGAAACCTGCCCAGCAGCTTTGTCCGAAGACGTGAATTTCACCGCGATGGTTGCCGTAGCTGATGCCGCTGACACCGCATCTGCTCCCTCCGCCATCGTTGTTCTACTGCTGTTTACTGATAAATGCAGTGCTTGGATACTGCAAAGGGAATATCTTACAGCCGAGGTTATATCAACTCGCGCTGTTAGAGTTTTGAACCTAGGTACGTGCTTCGTGGACCGCGATAGAAGGCCTTGCCCGGTCTTGTGTCTGTGTGACTCTGCAAGAGGGGCCAAAAGGGGGCACGCGCCGAGAATGTAATAGATCGACGTATGGGTATTGATAATTTTTCAACACGTACCCCCTACCCGTATTATCCCGTCACCGCGTCACATGCGGACACCATAGTGCAGCAGCCTACAGCCGAATTACAACTAGACTGGCCTTGGTCACGGAAAAGGACAACACGGCATGGCTTCCACGTCGAGATATCTCGGCCATCGCGCACTTCGATCGCTTTTGTCGAGAACTGCTGCGGAGTCGTTGGGAACACAAACGAGGCCGGCCCTGCGAGGTGCAGCAGCAGCACAAACTCGCCGCTTTCAAGTGGCATCATCAGCAGGCACCTCGTCAGCAGCAACAGAGCGTCCGCTGCTGGGCCGCAACCATCCGAGAAGTCGCTGTGAGCCAACCGTTGCTTTGTAGACGTCTAGCGTGTACATTCATGCGATTGCTGCTGTCGTTGTGCTCAATGAAGCTCCTCAGAGTCTACGCCTGTTGAAGAGCACAGAACTGCAACATGGGAGAGGACCAACTGCTGTCATTTTGTCTCGTTGCCACCCCACGTTCTTCCACGTTTGCAGTCAAGGCTGTGCAATTTTGTCCACGTACACACGAACCCGAAGTACCCACTCCACCCCGCCCTCGCACCGCACACCCAGCCCCCTGGCTCTCCCAGCAGTCCCGAAGTTTTTTCATCCAGACGGAGCCAACGCCCAACCCCAACTCCCTCAAGTTCCTGCCGGGCCGACCTGTGCTTCCCGCGGAACACGGAACGGGTGTGTACTTCACCCCCAATGATAAGGAGAAGAGGTGGGCAGGAGGCACATGGGTGGGGGCGGGGGGGCGTCGGGTATGATAATTTTGCATGTCGTTTTGTGCCAGCGCCACCTCTATCGTGTCTACGAGTGTACCGCTGACACCTCAACACGCCCCTTGGGTTATCTCGGACGAGCAAGTTTTCTGTGAGATGTATACTCTTCATAGTATTTTCTAAAGCTGCTCGCAGCATGTGTGCTCAATTACCGTAGTTGTTGGACGGTGTGCTATGACCTTAAAAGCTTCTCGCAGCACGTGTGCTCAATTACCATGGTTGTTGAACGGTGTGCTATGACATTCCGAACCAACCACCAACAACGTGACCACCCCGCCCGTTCTAAGCAGCCAGAGTCCTTTGGCGGTCGCTCTACTGAGCTTGGAAGGTGTCACCGGCGTCTTTCTCGGAACCGACTATATCACCATTTCCAAGGTGAAGAGGTAGGACGGGGGGTCCAGTCTCACCTCTACGTACAGCGGAGACTCCACCCATTGGATGTCTGTGTGGATGTTTTGATTCGCGAAACGTCGGCAACAAGAGGCAAGGTCAGCATGCTCGCTTTGGTGCTGAAATTGGTGATACGTTCACCTACTGTTTGCTGTTCATAACGTGATGCTGTTAATGGCGTGACTTACACCACGAGGGGTCGAAGCTCGGACCGCGGGGAGTGGGGCAATATGTAGCGCTTGGGGAGGGAGCGGGCATGCTCGATTCCCATCCTCTGCGTGTTCTGGTTGTTACGAAACCCTTTTCCCATGGATGGCTTCGCCCAACCCAAGGAATAGAAGAGGCGTGGCATCTCGAAGCTTTGATGCGATGGACAATACGCATGTAGCGCATACAGCCACATGCTTTACATGTTGCGGTGGTTGCCTTCTTGCAGTCTCTTTTGTGCCGAGTATCCCCATCTGCATGTACCTTGCGTAACATTCCTCAGTACCTCTGCCGATCGATCCGTGTGGTCTTGAGAAAAATAACGCGTTTTTTTAGAAACTCACGCATCAACTGTGTGTTTCTCTCACATGAATAGTGTGTTCCTTGGCCACACGCACCGCAAAGTTGATCAACAGGCAGGTGTCCACCCAACCGAGCACAAGCTTGCCGTGTCTCTTCCACCACAGCGAAGCTATCGAAACATTGCCGCAGTTGCTTCTCTCTCGAGAAAGGCGAAGTTTTTTACCGCGATTTTTCGGTGCTCGTGACAACGGAGATTCGTTTTCTGCTCCCCTTGAGGAATGGGAGGTACTCGATAGAGGTCATACCATCTGTGAAGTTGATGTGTGAAGTATGTAGACAGCAGCAGCAACCAATTTGATCGCAGCAACAACAATGGAAACAGCAGCACAACTTTGCCCCTCTTCAACGACGGCAAATATTCGATAGAGGCTATACCGCATGTCAAGTTTCAAGGTGTGGAGACAGCAACCACAATGACAGCAGCAGCAACAATAACGACAGCAGTACCATTTGCCCCTCTTCGTCAACGACGGCAGAATGACGAGGGCAGCTGGACCCTCATGAAGCCGGTTGTGTTCGGCGAGATCATGGACTTTTTCGCAGAGGGCAAGCCGGTCATGCTGGCCGAGCCGGTGGTCACCGACACGACCATTCTCGACGATGACGACGAAGTGGTGGCCATGATCAAGGAGCTCTTGCAGGAGCGGGTGAGAGGAGGCGCAGCAACTCGCGATCGGGGTGGTGGCTATCATGGCGCCTTGATGATCACCTGACGGGAGACCTAAAGACGTCCCATCGAGGGGGGGGAGAGACGAAAGCGTGTGCGCGCATTGTTGTTGGTTGGTCCGTTGAGTAGTGGGCCGGCTTGATTTGGGCAAGCTTGTTTGTAGCCTCCCCCAGTGAGAAACATAAACCGGGAGCCGAGCGAAGCCGCAGTTGCCTCAAGGGGTCAAGTCGTGCCGCCTTTTTCGCCCGCAAGAGACCGCTCCTGTGTTCGTGCTGGGGGGTGGCGAGGCGAGGTAACAAGAGGAGCGCAGCACACACAAGGCGCACTACGGCGGTCATTGGTGGACACGCGCACGTTCTGCTCGCGCGACAAACTGTGGCGAGACCCCCCGTCACCTTGAAAAACGTTCTGACACGTCATTTCGACAGCCATCAATACAACCACAGACCCTTGTTTTGCTAGTGTCTGGCTCGTCCACCCGTTTCTTCGCGGACGCGTGTTGCGAGTTGGGTCGCTTTTTTTTTGTCTTGCCACGTTTTTTTTCAGTATACTTTTTAAGGCTACGCTAGCCTGTGATCAGGGGAATCGACGGCGTCAAGTGTAAGACCGGTACGGACAGATGGAGGTACTGGGCACAGAGATCGGAACAGTTTTTCATGTGGAGATAACACATCCTAAGTAATGAATAATAAAAATCCGGGTTGCAGGTGAGACCGGCGGTACAGGAGGACGGAGGAGACATCTTCTACAGGGGCTTCGACCCGAACACGGGCACCGTCAACGTGCAGCTCGCCGGCTCCTGCGTCGGCTGCCCGAGCTCCACCGTGACGCTCAAGAACGGGGTGGAGAAGATGCTGATGCACTACATCCCAGAGGTAACTTGATGGGAAAAATAGTACCCTTGAAAGCAAGAGGCAATCGAAGCAGGTGTGCGTGTGTGTGACGTAGGTAGCGTCTCCCTTTCTCGCTTGTCGCGACTCTGCCGTCTCTTAGCCGCTGATCTTGCCCCCTAGCTCCAGAACTCCCGTGACTGTTTACATAAGAGTAAATACCACGTGCGTAAAAACCTAATGCAGTTGTTGTCAATGGTCGCTGACTTGTGCCATGCGTTTTTTTCTCAACGATCTGCGTTTGATCAAATCCATTACGACGTTAGTGGTCGCTCCCCTTCTTGGGGGTGTTGGTTCTGCCCGGCTTGGCTTAAAAAACAACACCGCTGCGGTGACTACTCTCGATGAGAGTGAAGACACGCCATCTAGGCCAACAAGTAAGCAAGTGGGATGAACGACCCCGCCGGGTGACGGCGAAAAATTCCGACACACGTTGGCTCATCCTTGGCGGACACTTTATCTTTTCTTGCCTTTATTAGTATATTTTCTCGTTGTATTCTATTCTTAAGGTTGAATGTTGTTGTTACCGTTAATTTATGGTGATTATTATTTCGTGGTCGTCGTACATGTTGTTGTCAATGGTGGTGGTGATTATGTAATCGTTGCTGCCTATTGGTCTGGTTCTGTCAGGTGATGGCGGTCAACGCCGTCGAGGACGAGGAGCTGAAAGAGGTCAACCAGAAGGAGGTCAACGAGCTGGAGGACCGGCTCAAGGCAGCAGGGGTGCCCTTCGAACCATGACCCCATTCGCCGAGCAGAGAACCAACAGCGGCAGTCCTCGAGAACGCCACGTGGTTTGTCCCCCCGGACACCTCGCTATGGACAGGCCGGTCGTTGTTATCTTTTGGGTTCGTCGTTTAGCTTCCCCAATAGCCGCTCGCTATCGACAAGCCGGTCGTTGTTGTTCCTTTGGGCTCCTCATCGTGGTGGTAAACGAGTGTCTTACCCGTGAGGCTGCTCGGTACGCAAAAGCAAGGCAGCGCTCAGTGCTACGGACGGTGCCACGAGGCGCCGGGTGCCCTGGCCAAACCGGAGGACGGTGCTGGTACGGAATCGGTACCACGACATCGTCGGGGGGGGACGGGGCGAGTACCGGACCAGGAGTGCTTGCTGATGTCTGTCGAAATTTGGACGGCGTTGTCAGCGAACGGGGCTGACAGCTTGCCTGTTGATCGGAAAAGCGTTGAGAGTTTCGATCGGAAGAAAACGTAGCACCTCTTGTCGTGATATGGGACAGGGAGTGGCGCTTCCTCCGCCCGTTGCCTTGGGGGGCAGCGAGCCCTCCCTTTGCTTCTTTTAAGTTGTTATCCATCCAAAGTCTCCGTGCGTCGTGACGTTTGGAGAGCAGACAGCACACCAATCCCCACGGAGACACGTGCCTGCTCTACGGTATGGAATACCGCGAGATGTGGAACGAACACGCCTCTTCGCCAGGGGGTTGCTTTTGGAGTCGGTGGCGTGTTTGTTGCTTCGTGTGACGGGAGCAAACACTGATGGCGCACTTGTTCAAGGCGGTTGCGGAAAAGGTTGGTTCGGTGTATCGTGACAACCAGACGGTGCTATTCGGTACCACCATTTGCTCGGGAAAGTAGGCGTTTACATGGGGCGTGAGTTTTGTTGTTTTCAGGGTTAGGGTGGAGTATTAGCGATTGTGAGGTTTTCGGGTTGGGTGGGGGTGTTCTGTTGCTGCCTGTCCATCACGGGTGGATTTTACTGTTTGCTACCGTCGGACCTCGTGCCCGCACGGCGAGGCGGGCATCCTAAACGTGTTCGTTCTTGTTGTCGTCGATCTGATGAGTCGGTGGTTCTCGTTCTTCTCTGTTGACGCCCGGATGAGGAAAATTTTGAATTACGCAAGCCTGGGGCTAAGCGTCAATAAAGGCATGAACGAACTAGGTGCGACAGCAAGAGATGATGTTTCAGCTGTCTACTACTGCCGTCATACGTAATATGTAGCTCTTGGTGTTGCCGGAGCACGACTCGAACGTAGACCCGGTTTCCCCGTAAACGATTCCTCGTTTCCTACTTGCCCCCCCCCCCGCATTCCCCCCCCGGTGTTTGCCATCGGGGTTGGGTTTTCGTCGCTTGGCAACGACGTTGTAAAACAAGCCAATTCACTTCGTGAACTCGGCAACCAGGTTACCGTTTTTTTTTTTTACCTCCGTTTTTTTTTTTGGCGGTAACCATAATGGTGGTCGAGTAGATCATGTTGTGCGGGGTGGAGAACCCTCACTCCGCGCAAGGGGGATGATCGCACCACGTTGTGTTAAAATGGTCAAGCACCCTCGAGGCAGTTACACAGTGCTTACAACTGTCTCTGGAAGTGAAAGCACCAGAAAATAAATTAAGTCATACGCAGCTGTCATCCGTACGCAAGGAAGTAAGCACAAGATGCCGAACACCCTTAGCAGGATGCAGCGCACCCTTCATGCGACTCGCCGAATATCTCACGGCGCTTCGCGCTTGGTGATGTGAGAGCCTGGTCCGGTGAGAACCCGGCGTGCTCCGTCCCGGCTTTGTAGGGATGCGAGGTCAATGGTCTAACGACTACGGCATGCACGACTATGAGTACCCCCCCCCCCCGCATCATTCAGACATGGGACCTCCCGTGACTCCCTCCCGACCGTAACTTCGGTAGGAACAAGAGCATACGACCGTGTCGTGGTCAGGGTGCTCTCGAGCACCGAAGGGTTCCTGCCCAAGGTTGTGGCGTCGTCGGGAACAACGCCTCGGGAAAAAACAATCACGATCACAAACTGCTCTTGCAGACTAGTCAATAGTTCACCAGCATCCCTTCCTCGCTTGTCCCGCCACAGCAGTTGGCGCGCACTACCTTTGTGTCCAGTTGAACACGAGAGTTTTGGCACTTATTTGTTGGGAGGGGCAGCAGGCTCCCCATCGAAGGCTGGTCCGCTGGCGCCTAGCCTTACCTCCTTCATTTCCTCACAAGAAAATACTACATGAGTGAAAACGAAACCGCACATCAAGGGCTCAACATCTAGAGGCGATCCACGCTCCTCTATACCACACACCGAAGTATGCACCCCAAATTTCCTCGGCAACCTACGAACTGATGGGTGTGCGACACAGCATACCAACCCGTATGAAGTCGTCCGGCCTGCACAGCTCTGTCGCGGAGACCCCCGCTGACGTCATCAGCGCCACCCACATCTGAGCCAACCGCTCGCTTCACTCGAAAGTCTTGTTAGACTGCATTTTAGGGCGACTTGCGTCGAGTCTGTGGGTCCCGCACATGGCAGCGGATTGGCGCATTCGACCCTCAGGTCAAAGATGAGGGCGGCGTTCGACCGTGGGCACAGCATGTAGAGGGAGAGATCCAGCGCACAGAAAACGCTACCTTTGGTCGAAATCTGTTTTTCGATCTCAACCAGAAACACAAGTTTTTCTTGTTGCAATCATACGACGCCAAACGATGCAATGTTGTTGACAGCCTGCAGCAGCTGGGCGTGAACACTTTTCTTTTACTATTCCGACGTCAGACGATGCGGTGCTATGATCGACCGACCGCCTGCAGCGGCTTGTGCCGCAGCGCCGAATCCTTGTTCACACGACGTCAAACGATGCGGTGTTGTTGACGGCCTGCAGCAGCTTGTGCCGCAACACGGACTCCTTGTCGTAGTCGGGAACGTCCAGCTGGAAGAAGCACGTGTGGGCCGCGGGGAGCGCCGCCGACCTGGGCTGACAGCGGACGGTGATCTCCACCTGCGGTTTCGACAAAACAACAGGGACCAACAAACACACGCACGGCGAGGACACGAAAGGCAGCGACGATGAGCAGTGATTTGAGTAAGCGACAACCACAAACAACAGCTGTCTCCTCAAAGGAGCGCCACTGTCTTGGGGCCGGTCCTTCGTGCGGCGAGCTGTTTGTCTTCGGAGAAGTTCGTGGATTTACTGCTGGAAATATAACCGCCGAGGCTGTTGGGGCAAGGGCGAGCACTTGCATGTGTCATGCCACCCATCATACTTGCGAGCCGAAGCAGCATGGCTGCCTCCGGGGAGTTTGTGACAGCGACAGGAAGTGCAACCAACACCATCTCACGAATAACGCAACGATCGGCCGCGGGAATTCTGGCCTCCTTTTTCGTTTTTTACACCTCCGAGGTGAAGAATTTCCGTACAACGACCCACCCCCCCGTGTACCCTAGAAAGACAACGCAACCAACACCATCTCACGAATAGCGCAACGATCGGCCGCGGGAGTTCTGGCCTCTTTTTTCGTTTTTTACACCTCCGAGGGGAAGAATTTCCATATATCGACCCACCCCCCTGTGTACCCTAGACAACCAATGCAACCAACATCGCGCCGTGATGCCGCCGCCCACTTTTTAACGAACAGCAGGACTTCCATTTGCACCACTGCACACAACAGTTACAGTTAAGACGATAGACACAGCTGCATGCCATCATCGCCCATCACGTGACGAATTGTAACCTCCAGCCCCCGGGATGCGCAATCAACCCATGCCACATCTGGTTTGCACAGCAATCCCGAGGATGAAGACCAGCTTCTGGTTCATCCTCGTGAAACGGTATCCTGGGCCGGCGAAAACCCGTCACAACGCTCCGTCCCGACATTGTAGGGGTCCGAGGCCAACGGTCCGAACAACCACAGCATAAGAAACATGAGTACCCCCCCCCCCCCCTTGCCCATTTCTCACCTTGCCGGCGGATGGAGCCGGGAGCGAGGGCGTCCCACACACGAAAATCAAGAACCGTCGCAAGGCATCTTCGGGGAGGGAGAGGAGCAACGACTTGACCCAAGTGGGGACCTCGCTGCTAGCCGGGAACCCGTACCAGGTCAGAACCGCGACCACCTTGGCAAAAAGACGGTGCGAAGCAGTCAGAGGGGGGGGGGGGGGTAC